AGCTACTGAAACAAGTCGGACTTTACGAAGGAAAAGAGCGAAACAAGGAAGCAAAGGAGGGAAAGTTTCGGTTTATCTGAAGTCTGCATTAAAACGTTTTAACTGAAGGCGACATCTAGAATGATTTCCCCTTCAGATGGATCCAAAGTGGATCAAACGGTCAGAACCGTTCTGATCCCAGAGCTCCGACCCAGCTGCCTGTTCTGGCGCTGAGAGGGGAACCGGCGGCGTCCAGCGGCGTCCAGCGGCGTCCAGCCGCCCTCAGCGTTCCAGCGAGGAACTCCTACTTCCTGCTGGTCGGTACCAGCGATCCGGACCAATGGCTGTTAGTATCCGTAGCAGAACCGGGTTCCCAGCTCTGCGCTGCTGCAGGCGGCCGACCCAGATAGAAACCGGTTCCCTCAGAGTCCAGGTCCGCAGTCAGGCCTGCAGGTCCTGGATCAGCAGGCTGATCGGGTCAGAACCAGGCTGGATAACAGCAGAGAAGGTAAATCTGGTTCTGGTTCCAGTTGGCTCCGCCTCCTCAGCAGCTCTAATCTGACAGACCTTCATCTCACATCGGGTTCCTCCTCCTCTTCATCAGAAACCAACCTGAACCAGTGGGGGAGGCGAAGGAGCAGCGGCGCCTCCTGCTGTTCAGATCAACCAGGAATGAAAGGAGGTTTATCTTCTCACCTGAGGCGGAAGCAATGCATCCTGGGATGTGAGGAGACCAGATGGCGCTGTAGACGACCCCTTCGTGACCTCTGAGCGTCACCAGCGACGGGCCCAGGTTCTGATCCCACTGTGGGGGGAGGAAAGGGAAGGTTAGAGAGGAAGAGAAGGAAAGGAGGGAAGGAAGGATAGTGGGAGGAGCCTCACCACTTTAACGGTCCGATCCCAGGACCCGGACCCCAGCAGGTGTTCCCCTCTGGTCTGACTCCAGTCCACCGCGTAAACCTGCACAGAGCGAGGAGCTCAGACCCGGCAGCCGGACGGTGCCGGGTCTGAGCTGCTGTGTGGGCGGTACCTCCTGGGTGTGCTCTCTGGCCACTCTGAGCGGAGCCGTCTGATTGGCTGAATCCCACAGCTGCAGGCTGCCGTCTCCGCCTCCCGCCACCAAGACGTGCTCGTTAGCTTCGCTCCACGCCACGTCAAAAAGGCCGTCGCCCCATTCCCAGCTGGAACACACACAAAGTTCTTCAGAACCTCTGAGGGATCCGGTTTACGGAGACCGACAGAACGGAGGCGGTACCTCCGGACCAGGACCATCCCAGCATCCGTCTGGTCCAGAACCAACAGGGAACCAGAACCTGCAGAGACCCAGAGAGGGAGCAGAACCTGATGGAGCCGTTACCATGGAAACCAGGAGGCAGCAGGGTATCTGATACTAGAAATATTTATCTATATTTCAATTATTATTATATTATTATATTATATATTATTTATGGATGGATGATCATTATTTATTCATTTCTTCATCATTTTATTTATAAACCTATTTTATTTTTTATTCTCTTTATTTTAAAGTTTGTTTTGTGTTTAAATCAGGATCTACTTTCATCAACATTTTGGATTTTCCAACTTTTTAAAACGTTTTTAAAATGCATTTCATTATAAAATTATTTTATAAATAAATCATTTTACTTCCAGCATATTTAAAGAATAAATAATGAATAATTAATCATAATTTAGAAGAGAAATCAGGATTTTTTTATCTAAATTATTTCTGATTACATTTAAAAGGAAATTTAAAAATTAAAAATGTATTTCTATGGTTATCATTATTATTGTTACCTTTAATTATGCTTAATTCTTGTAAAGTGAGTTTTTAGATCAGTGTTTTATAAATGAAATAGATAATTATTCTTCTGGTTATTTGTAGAAACTCTGCAGACGACGTTTCTGATCTGGATCTTTGTTCTGCTGCTGAAGACGGATCAGAAAAACGACTAAAGTTCTGATTTATTTCCTCTTTTCCAGATCGAGCAGCAGGAATCTCCTTGGTTGCCGTTTTCTTTGCACAATCGACCGATGCAGCTGCAGTCTGGCTGCGTGCAACGCACCAAAACACGGGGATCAGACCAACTCACTAACGTCTCACCGTATGCCGATGATCTGACCCTCAGCATCGCTTCCAGCAATAATGAACAATTTCAGTTTAATATCTGGTTATAAATAAATATTAATAAAAGCTCATTATTTCCATTAATGTTTCACAGGAGGAGATCTGAACAATTTAAATATCTATCATTACAAAAATCCTTTAAAGGCCTTTATGGTCGAAATAAAGGAAACTTGTTGCACAAACAGATGCAGACATTAGCAGGTCATGTGACCATTATCAAAATGACTGTTTAGGTTTTTTTTCCAGTGTTTTCCTTTTTTTTAATTCACTTTTTATTATATTATTGGGCTTTTAATTAAGAAAATATCTGATGCTGGATTTGGAAATTTCCTCCTCATTGGATGAAGATATAAGAGGATTGTTATATACCTTCTAACATCTAAATCAACTCTGTTGCCTCTAATTTATTTAGTATATGGAAGCAACTTTAAAGACATTTAGTCTTTGTT